CTTCTGACATGAACAGGGCCCAAGATTCATGTGAAGAGTTTAGATCGAGGCCAACTCGCCTAGCTTTGCTCTTCACTTATGTATATAACCTGAAACCTCAGATCACCTGGGATCTCTAAGGCTTTCTTTTCGAGGCTTCATAGTATCCCATTGGAGAGATCATTCATCAGGGGTACACATTGCTCTCTTCCCTTCTTGCTTTTTGATATCTCTTGGCAGGGGTCAACTTCATGTGCATCAGACGATGTCCTTTAGTAAGGAACACCAACCAGGAGGACACTGGATTGATTTGGAAGGAGGGTGAGAAAAGATTGCTGATAAAGAAATGAGATGGAGGCAAAGCCAGCTAAGTGCTCAGAGTGAAATATAAAAGGGCTTCAAAAATGTTCATGAGAAATGGAATTAAATCAATTAACTCAATGAAATTATTTTGGTGCAAGGTCAATTTGAAATCTATGCATAGGCTTTTTTATTATTATTAATTACATTGCATTATGTGACACAGTGTTATGGGCACTGGGATTCCGCCCCCCACCCCTCCCTGAGCCCTCTCCCCATGGTGGATTTCTCCACCTTGCTTATGCATAGGCTTTTACATAACATATATTTCCACTAACTTTCAGAAGACCCCTCCTATGTGTATCTTACTACTGTAGAAAATCTAAGAAAGATCTGAAATCTAGGATATTTTGAGTCAAAATGAAAGAGAGACACATATTTACGGAAGATCTAGGGACTAAAGTGATGCGCTCAGTAGACTAGTTAACAAGCATGACAACCCAATGAGGTAGCTATGATTATTCCCATTGGCATGGAAAGGAAAACTGAGGCCCCATGAGAGTTCAGAGAGCCCTGATTACACCCACAGTTATGTGCTCTCTTCTCTTTCGAAAGTCATTTGATAATTGGATTCCTCTTAAGCTTTTGTTTTTTAAAGATTTATTTTATCTATATATATTTTATTGGAAAGGCGGATATACAGAGAAGAGGAGAGACAGAGAGGAAGATCTTCCGTCCGATGATTCACTCCCCAAGTGAGCGCAACGGCCGATGCTATGCCGATCCGAAGCCAGAAGCCTCTTCCTGGTCTCCCACACGGGTGCAGGGTCCCAAAGCTTTGTGCTGTCCTTGCCTGCTTTCCCGGGCCACAGGCAGGGAGCTGGAAGGGAAGCGGGGCTGCCGGGATTAGAACCGGCGCCCATATGGGATCCTGGGCGTGCAAGGTGAGGACCTTAACCACTGCGCCACCGCAAGCTTTTTGAAGGTAGTCAGTCAGGCTATTTTGTAAGCATGGAAGCTGAGACCTGAGTAAGTGAGGTGACTGTCTTAGGAACTGACTCTGGCCTCCTGCCTACAGTTGCCAACCCTTGGCATACTGTCGTTTAAAAACCTCTGCATGAATGGGCTTTTGTATTCACTTTCAGTGAGAAGCAGTAGTATCACTGTTAGTGCAATGGTTAGACACAGATTCCTCAGTCTGCATGTTCTGAGAGATGGGTTTACTGTCAGCCACACTCCAGTGCTTACCTTACCTATATAGTGCACATAGATCACACAGCATGCTGGCTTTCTTCTCCTCTTACTTCCTTAAGCCTCATTTTTTTAAGGCTAGACAAATAAAACTCTGTTTTACATGGAAAAAATATTTGTAGATGACTGTTGAGTGTTGTGTATCACACACACAACCTGCTCATAATATGAACACTTGAACCACAGAACAGCATTTCCTGAACCAGCACCGTTCACTCAGCTTGGAGAGACATATAAAAACAGAAATGAACTGGTTCAACAGTTTAGATGCCTTCGGTCTTAGTGACAAAAACTGCCTATTATTAAGTATGAACATTTTCCAAAAAAATTAGAGACAGCATTCTCAGGATGAAGAGTGTGTGAGTATTCTCTGCTGTCTGTAAAGCTTCCGTGCTTTCCAGAAGTGTCCATTATTTCTGCTCCAGTTTCAGCAGGAGACCTGGTGCTCACCCTTGTGGACCAGAGAGACTGACGTAATTCTGACAGGTCACTTGGGTGGCCAGGTCAGGCAGATGTTCTTGGAATGACCGTGTTGGCCTCGGCAGCTCACAGATAGGGAAACTGCCCTCAAGAGAGAAAGAAGGACAGAGAGAGAGGAAGTAAGAGAGAGGGAGAGAGAGAGAGAGAGAGAGAGAGAGAGAGTTAGCTGATTTCTTTATGATGGTGCAGGGTCTAGTCAGTGTCAGAGCTGACACATCAGGCTGGGGCTCTTGCAAACTGCCTCTCACTGTCTTCTCAGACTGCAGCGACCGTGTGTGAAAGCACACTGCTTAGTACGCAAGCAAGGCTGACACTTGTGCTCCCGGGATTGTCAGCCTTTTGTTGGGAAGATGGTTCTTCGAAAATACTGAAAACCACGCCACACTGTGAAGACAGCCAGAAGTACCGCTCAGAATGTGGGAGCCTCCTCATCTTCTAAATACTGAATCTCCAATCTATATAAAGGCTGCGACTCAGGTGCATCTGAGAAAGAAGGAGATGGAGAACCAAAGGCCTGACAATTTAATCATTGCTCTTCTCTCTGCTGCCAAACTCAAACATCACCCCCCGACCCCCCAGATCTACATCCTTCTGGAGCACTGGGGCTTCGATCCTCTCAATCTGACTGAGGCTTGCCAGCTTCTGGGAGTAACGGTCAAGTCCAGAACTTGCAAGAGGCCTTTGAAACCTCTAGCTAAATCCCAGGCCGGGTCAGAGGACAACATGGCTCTTGCAACACAGATGAGAAGAACCTCCTGCTTTTCGGCAGGGGACCTCTTAAGCCCTGGAAGGACCTTGTGTGACCTTGGTAAAAGCAAGTATCCTCGAGGGAGCTACTGCCTGTTCTTAGCCTGGAGTGGTAGTGACATGTTAGAGTACAGGAACTCATGGACTTTCCCACTCACTCTGTTTCCTTTCACCCTGCACCTGCCTGCTAGCCTGGTTGGCCTTTCCCTCCGCCCCCCCGCCCCCCCCGCGTTGGACCAAGAATGTGTGCCCGCATGTTTGTCTGCACATGCACCTGTGCGCATGTTCCTTGCACAACTTGAATGAGTCATGTACCAATCCCACATAACCTCTCGGAGACCAGGAATTCAAGTTAGTTGCTGAGGGCTTGAACATGTGACCCACAGGATTCAGAAGTATTTTGCTAGGAACTCAATGGATGCCATTAGAAAACTGTTGTAATGCCTGACACGGCGCCATGAGAACAGCCATCCGATGGACAGGCTAGAGATCTTGACTGGGCAGGTGGCCAAGGAGAAGGTGGGGCACCTGGCAAACTTACCTCCAGGGCTACCTCTCCTCCATAGCTGTTTCCCTGAATCACACCCTTACTTGCCTTTAGGGGGAGCACATCCTATCCCCATCTTCTGTGTGTGTAGTGTGTGGTGGTTGGGAGGTGGAGAGAGCAGCAGGTGAGGACCACAAGAGCTCTTGGGGAAGTAGAGAGGCTTGTCTTGTAATGTCCTGCATCTGGCTATTTAGTCCAAGTCTGTTCATTTATCAGTGTGCCCTACAGCCTCCACGCAGAAGATGCTAGAGGGTCTGAAATGTAGATGGTTCCTGAATTCCACTACCCCTCTGGCCTGCAGCTGGAAGAGGGGCCTTTGCTGACCCTAAGAGGTCTCTGGGGCCACGTGGAAGACTGTCTTGGGCTGAGAATTCTGAAGGGAAGGGACTGACAAGGGGCTCAGCTGTGTCACTGCCTAGGAAGGATTCCTTCCTTGTTTGGTGTGCGACTGAGTTGGCACACACATCTCAGCTTACAGCAACTAGCAAACGAGGCCTCGCATTGGGAGTTACTCATGGGTTTCTACGTTTCATCCGCACGGTGCCCCAGCTGGTGCACATGGATGCTATTCTTAGGCTGCTTTTCCATATGAGGAGTGATTAGGCTTGAGATGCCCAGAAAGGAAGTGACAGATTGTCCAGTACTCCAAGATCTGTGGTGAGGCCGCTCCCTTCATGGTACCAAGAGGACAAAGCAAAGAAAGCAAGGAGTGGAACTCAGTGAGGGAGCTTGAGGGAGAGTCTGCCCCAGCACGCTCCTCAGTAATCCCAGCACCTACAAATGCTGCTCTGAAACGCTGCTGCCACCCTGTGCCCTTTGGCAGCAGTGGGATGGGAGGCAGTACCCACAGTCGGCAACACCAGGCTCGTGGTTTAGGGCAAGCTGCCCTTATTAATCTGACAGGGCCAATCGGGGTCCTGAGTACTCAACACCTGTGTCTGGAGGCAACAGCTATTCTTTCCTCTTCAATCACCACACCCTGGTTGTACAGCAGAAAGCAGCATGTCGGCAGCTGGGAGGTGAAAATAACCTGTGCCTGTGTGTCCGAGCAGCTGCTGTTGGCACCCAGAAATGGGTGACCAGTGTCCAGTTTTCTAGGCTCTACGCTAGGGCTCTGCTGTGTGTCCTTGGGCATATCCATATCCCTCTCTGAGCCTCCGGTTCCTGATATCGCTTCACCTTGGATTACATGGTCTCACTCTGATAGTGTTCAGGCAACTATTCATTCATTCAATGACCCTTACCGAGCGAGGCTTTCCCGCAGGCACTGGGTTTGGTGCAGAGAATCCAGTGCTAGCGTGGTAAGAGCCAGTCCCTGTTACGAAAAACAAAAAACAAAAAGAAAACCAAACAAACAGAAAACCTCAGGTTGCTATTCTATTCTGTGATGTTTTATGGTCATGCTTTCTTCTTCATGCTGACTTACCTTCTCAGACTATGCCCCCGCTTCCGTTCGAGAATGGAAATTGGCAAGGAAGGAGGGAAAAGGTCCAATTTGCGCCTCTGCTATTTTAGGGGCGGTTGAAATTGCGAGCCCAAGTGGACTGATGCGCTCACTGAAGTGACCTCCGTTCTCCAAGACAGAAAACCTAGGTCCTCTGCTTGTGAAGTGGTTCGAGCTCTCGAGCGTGAGGCATTATTACATAAATTCAAGCTCGCACGGATCCTTAGTACCCTGAGTTGCCTGAAGGGGGGAATGGCACTGCCTGCGTGTGCAGCCCGGGGGCTCGGGCGGCCGCTGCAACCGGAGCAAGGAGCGCCCGCCCGCACCACCTGTCCCCGCCAGCATTCCAGAGTAGAGGCCGAACTGGCAGCCAGCCGGTCCGGGTCGGTCGCCGCCTCAGTCTGCGCGAGCCCTCCTAGGGGTGTGTCTCACGGATTCAACTGCCGGCCGTTCCTGGACGAGCCCCTCCGAGCGTCTTCTTCCCTGGCGGGAGCTGTGCGCGCCCCGCTTTTCGCGCTGCTGTCCCGAGGCCGCCGCAAGCGGATGCACGACCTCAGGAGACGCTGGGACCTGGGCTCCCTCTGCCGGGCCCTGCTCACTCGGGGCCTGGCCGCCCTGGGCCACTCGCTGAAGCACGTGCTCGGTGCGATCTTCTCCAAGATTTTCGGTCCCCTGGCCAGGTACGTTATAGGTGAAAACACGGGGCTCGCGCTCTCGAACCGCGGCGCGCGGTGTCTTGCGCTGAGGGAAGGCAGCGGCGAGCCGAGGGAAGGGCGGAAAGTTCGAGCTGGCCGTGGGCGACCTGGCTCGGGCGCTCCGGAGGGGGTGCGCGGCGTGCCTTTGGCCATGCTGCGGCTCCCTTCTCGCCGAACTGCGGGCGCGAGCAGCGCAGTGTCCCCGGCAGCAAGTCGAGCTGCCGGTGGGCTTTCTTCCCTCAGGGAGGAACTCCACAAGCCCGGCTCTGAGCTTAGTCGAGACGGCCTCCCGGGTGGGCAGCCGGGCGCGGGGGAGACCTGGGCTCGGCGCATATGGGGAAGGGAGACCCACAGCCCAGCAAGGCAGCTGCGTGCGCGCCACTGAGGGAACTGGGGGGCTGGAAAGCGAGGGCTAGTCCGGTGGGCGAAACGGAGCCACCGTGAGTGAAGCGAGAAGTGCAGGGGCCCGGACAGGGGGCGTGAGTTGGGATAGTGGGGCCACGGAGACAAGAGATGTCCCGCGGGTGCGGAAACTCTGTGAAGGGGCTCCGGGAAGCTCAGGAGTTACGGGGTGGGGTAGCTGGGGAGGCAGCTAGCGGCCCGCGGGAAGGAGTCAGGGTGTGTGTGTGTGTGTGTGAGTGTGTGAGTGTGTGTGTGTGTGAGTGTGTGTGTGTGTGTGTGTGTGTGTGTGTGTGTGTGTGTGTGTGTGTGTGTGTGTGTTGGGGGGAGCGATTGTGCTGCAGAAGCCACAGCGCTGAGCCTGCCGGGAAGGAAGGAAGCGGGGAAGGGCGCCACTGCCTCTGCTACTCGGTGCGGGGCGGGGAGTGAGGGGAGTAGGGGCGCAGCGACGGCGCCAGGGGGAGGGGACGGCGCGGGCGGTCGGCGGGAGCGGGCTGAGCTGCGGGATTGACGTAACGAGCTTGGGTTTCCCTCAGCGTCGGGAACATGGATGAGAAATCCAACAAGCTGCTGCTGGCTTTGGTGATGCTCTTCCTCTTTGCCGTGATCGTCCTCCAATACGTGTGCCCAGGCACAGAATGCCAGCTCCTCCGCCTGCAGGCATTCAGTTCCCCGGTGCCGGACCCGTACCGCTCGGAGGATGAGAGCTCCGCCAGATTCGTGCCCCGCTACAATTTCAGCCGCGGCGACCTCTTGCGCAAGGTAGACTTCGACATCAAGGGCGATGACTTGATCGTGTTCCTGCACATCCAGAAGACCGGGGGCACCACTTTCGGCCGCCACCTGGTGCGCAACATCCAGCTGGAGCAACCGTGTGAGTGCCGCGTGGGTCAGAAGAAATGCACTTGCCACCGACCGGGTAAGCGGGAGACCTGGCTCTTCTCCAGGTTCTCCACTGGCTGGAGCTGCGGGCTGCACGCCGACTGGACTGAGCTCACTAGCTGCGTGCCTGCGGTGGTGGATGGCAAGCGCGACGCCAAGCTAAGACCTGCCAGGTGAGTGTGCGCTGACGATCAAGACGGGCTCCAAAGTACCCAGAGCGGACCAGAGCCTGAGCGGGCTAAGGGCGGGAAGGCGCTGTTGAAGGCTGCAGGGGACCCAGAACGCACCTTGCACAACCCAGGCGGTTGCACTCCCCTCCTCCCCGCCCCGGAGCTGGCGCCAGGCACCCTGGCGCGCATCTTTGTGGCGCTGTGGCTGTCTCAGGAAGCCTTTCCTCTCTAGTCCGGGCGGCACGTCTGTCCATTTACAGTTTGGCTTTCTGGGCGGTTCAAAGGGTGTGCAGGATTAGCGAGTAGGCGTCCCTCCGCCGCCGCCCGAGACCTTGCACTGCACTTAAGACTCCACACTTGGAGAGCATAGTAGTAATGGTAGTAGTAGTAGTAGTAATAATAATAATAATAATAAATCCTGTACTCTGTATACGTCGCCCCTGGGTCCTTTCTCTTCCCGGCACCCCCTTTTTTTTGGAACCTTCTTTTCACTCGTGTAGCTCTTCCCTTTTTCCTCATTTCCTCTAGCGAGAAAATTCTTTCCTTCATGATCCTCCAGATCTTGTCTGCTGTTTGCTCGCTCTTTCTTCCACATTCCTTCCTCGATTCCCCACCCCCACTCCTCTTCTGTCTTACTCTTCCTGTTTCTGCCCTCCTACTCGACTTTCATCGCCGCCTCTGTTCTCCTTAAAACCCCCTACTCTCAACCAGCTTTCCACGGGGGAATGGGTGGCCCGCTGCCACTGTTTGTGGACACCCGGGGAAAGCTCGTGGTTCCCAGCCTGGCTTCCTTACCACTGACAGTTTGTGGAGGGGGGGGCGAGGGGAGGGAACGGACATGTAGGTGAGACTCACCCCTACCTTGTGTGAAACTCAAACCTGAGAAGCTTTACCAAACAAAACAAAACAACACAACACAAAACAAACAAACCAAAAAAACCAGCCCGGAATCCCAGCATGGGCACCTCTGGCTCAGTGTCTGGGCACCTGGGGCGGATGCAGTGAAACTGATGTATGTAAATAGCATTTTAAGTAGAAAACAAACAAACAAACAAAGACAGGGGCATTTTCTGTGCTCCAGCCACCTAGTGCCTTGGCTGGGGTCAGAAAATACTGTAAAGGGGACGAGGAGGTGTGCCTGGGGTACAGTTGGTGTAGCCAGGGCTCTAGTTTCCTTCTGGCTTCTCCACACACTGGAGTGCCAGGCAGTGTCTGGACTGGGTCTCTGAGCCAGGAATGACACGGTCCTGTTCCCTGCCTCCATTCTGGGTCACTACAAGGGTTGCTTGACTGGACCCCTTCAAGTTCCCCCAGGGCACTTTTTCTCCTGGATATGGGACTGCTTTGCAGGCGGCTTGTTACAACACAAGACTCAAATGGAGCACTGTGATAATCACTGCGAATTACAGAAACCATCACTCCCCATCCCTCATCCTGCCCTGTTTAACAGTAGCCTTCCGCAAATGCTCCAGTTCTGACAGAAATTCTGTTCCAATCTAATTTCCTTTCCAACACTGACCACTGTTATTTTCCATCTCCAAACAACCTTGGCTTCGCGACGATGGGAACCTCAATCCATTGCAAGCATTGTGTAAGTCATCGCCACAATCAGATTCTGGTGTTTAAGAACTCGAACAATTTGGCAATATTGGAAATAATTTCTCATGCTGACAGTGCTTGGTGGTCTAGTTAGGGTTGGTGACATTATTAAGAATCTTTAGAGCAAAAAACAAAACAAAACAAAAAACAAACAAAACAAAAACGAAATCTAGAACTGCATGGCTGTGATTGTGGCATAGAAGTAGAAACAAATCCTGTTCCTAATGGAAGCCGTAGCCCTGTCTGAAGATGCACACAGTATTTGAACCTCTATCAGTCCTTTTGAACATGTGGGTGAGGGTGTGACGTCAATGAACACACATTGTGAAAATGTGGTCTGAGTTATCTATTTGGTGGTGATTATTCTCTCGAGGATCCCTTCAGCCATTTTCTGTAATAGAATGAGGACCCCCTCAAAGCTTTACGTCCTTCTAAATCAAAGCCAAACTCTTTCAAATGAAACGGGATTTTTGTGGATATTAAAAGCGTGACACTGCAGTGCCATCTAGTCCAGTGAAAGAAGACTCATGTTTGAAAATGTCCAATTTTTTTGGATTTTATAGTGGTTGTAAAAATGGAACAAAATTTTCTGGAGAAGATTCATTGCTGCCTTAATGACACCCTTTTTCTTCATGCCTGCCTTCCTCCAGAAATTTTCTTCTTGAAGAATAGTGATCGGCTGAGGGTTTCACAATCTCCCAGATGCCTGCTTACAGGACCATTTCCCTGAGTTCTGATGATCAGTAAGGGTCAAGATGTGCAAGTGTGTGAGAGAGTGAGATGTGCAATGGAGTGTGCAGGCATGTGTAAGAGGTGAAAATTTAGAGCCATAGGCAGCTGCGCTGGCAGTGAACTGTGAGGGTAAAGAACTGGTCTTGGGTGATGGGCGGGTAGGCCTTGGGGATTGCTGTGTAGCACAGCCTTTGCCAGCCAGCTGCTGGGTTCCACGCTCCACTGAATTGAGGAGAAGAGCTTCTCTGTTTGGACTGGGCGTTCAGATACAGGAATCTTCACCCTAAGCCAACCATGAGCCAGCTGTATGACCTTAGACCAGAGCCTGTGTGGAGAGCGTGTCCAAATTTCTGAAGAGTTCGCCTGTCCCCATGTCTGTTATTTATCTGTAAACTTGTGCTGTCTTGGAGGAGGACAGAGCTACCAAAATACCTCCATTATTAGGTGACAATGAAGTTGAAAGAGGCTGAAGGCTTTCCCAAGGTCGCTGAGTTCATTACTGGGGCAGCACGAGTCTCTCTCCCATTCTGTCCGACTCCACCACCCTGTCAATTACAGTTTGACTAACAGGGATTTTTGGGAAAAAAAAGTGAGGGGCAAGGGAGTGGGCAGTATATCGTGTTGGTAATTACCACAGGGAAATACTCTGTAAATGTTAGGTGCAGTTATCACTAAGGCATCACCATTGCCAGATATTGACACCCGTGAATTTGGCCGAGGGATTGATTGGACCAGGGTTCCCAAACCCATTCACTGAGAGAATTTACCTTTACTCCCCCAATGTCTTAAGCTTATCAGGAGTAGGTTTCCTGGCCAGATTGCAGAGGGGCTTCTCATCATCAACAAGTTGCAAACATACAGCATAGCAGGATGGGAGGAGACTAGGGACCCAGTTGGTGACCATCAGTGGGAGCCCTGAGTAGTCACAAGGACCACTTTTGACCCACCCACAATAACTCATCCACATTAGGGAGAGCATGAACGGTTATGGGGGCAGCAGGCTAAGAACTTGAATTCTACTCCCTGTGTCATGTTTGAGATGTTTCCCAGAGTGTGTGGATAGCAAAGTGCTTGGGTACGATAGAACGGGTGAATAGAAATGCCTGTGATCACAGTGCATGGAGAGGACAAGGGCAGAGTGAGAGTGTGCCTGCCTGGCAAAGGCTAGAGTTGTTTATTAAAAATAATGTTTCTTTTAAAAATTAGGAGTTACATCTCATCCATCTGTCTGCCAGTATGCTGTGTGGAGTCAGAGAAGGGTCCTACTCATTTCACAATTTGTGAGACCATTTTGAAAATATGTCAAAACATTGTCGCTTACCAGCTGTTAAAAGTCCCAAATTGTTCAGGCTTTTCTCAGGCCGTATTCCCTCTGTTTGCAGCCAGCAATCTAGTGTGCCACTTGGCCTGTAGAAAGAATTCTGAGTTGGGTCCAGAGAAATTATTTTCTGCTGGGTCCCGTGCTGGCAGTCATAAATGTGTGATGAGGATAGAAGTCAGATCTATGGCTACAGAAGTCAAAGAATCTGACTTAATTCGTGTTGCTTTCTAGATTTTTAATAGCTTTCGGTTTTTTTAGCAGTCCTTTGGAAGGGCAGTTGTCGTTGAAAGTCCAGTAGAGCATTACTGACTGGAAAGGGAATAAGAAAAGTGTTTGGATGAAAAAAAGAGAGCTTTTCCTCCTTTTGTTCCATTTTTAAATTATGGTCAAACCTTTCTTCCATCCCACTTTTGTTGTAAAAAGCTGGCTTTGTTTTTGGAAGAGCTAGAGCTGGATAGTGCACCTGCGCACATGTCTCAGATACCCACATGTGCACTCCTTCATTTGCTTGATTCTGCAGTGAGGCAGGGTGACACAACAGGAGTACGGGTGCAGGGTGAGGCAGTGCATGGACTGTTTGAGCCAGCAGGGTTGGCCTTGTGGGCTGTCAGGCTGCAGGTGGCTGGGCTGTCAGTTGCCTTTACCCAAAGATGCCCTTTCTCAGCCATCTGGGATGAGAGCTGGTGTAGCACCCCACTCAGTTCACAGAAAAGTGTGTGTGTGTGTCTAGGGGCGATGTATTGTGATGACATCTGTAGAATGCCAACAGGGATGGCAAACATATTGTTGGAATCACAGCAAAGCTCTTCAATTTTCAGGGAGTTGAAAAGGTTACTCAGAACTAGTGTCTTTTACTAATTTGAGATTAGTGGCAGTTGAAATACTAAGACTTGTCTTTCCCAGCTGTCAGTTGTCAGCTGAGGTTTAAGGGAATGACATTAAAAGAATAACCATCCCTTGTTTCAGTTGTTCATGAAACAAAACTTTATAAAAGTGCATATTCTTTTCCAGGGAAGACACATCAGACTTGCTCTTTGAGTTTATAGTATAGTTGAGCAATTTTGTATCTTAAATATTTAATAAAGAAGATGGGCCTTGTTGGCAAATAATTTGGAAATCAATAATGTCTTTAAAATGTCAAACATATACCAGAATATGTGAAAAAAAAAGTAGAGACAAGACTGTCTGTTGTCTTGCAGTGTCTCTCTGGTTAGCAAACCTGGTAGGGTAACTGATGTTCCTGGTACAGTGCTGGCGGTTTAAGGAGATCAGCGGTACAGCCAGGGTCACTGCCTTCAGACTCAATGTCCATGAAGATTGGCCTGCAAGGTGCAGAACTGTGTAGCATAGA